CCAATGAGCTTATGACGATCGATCTAGATAATCTCGAGGATTTCAAGGTGATAACCAAACCAGATGTTGTCCAGGGAATGCATGAGCTGACAACTGGATTTTTCTGGGCACACTTCCTTGCATTTTAAATTATTATAAGAGAAGAGCTAATGTTCTTTTTATGATTTTTTCCAGTGTTAAAGCCTTTCATGGTTATTAAATATAGAAACCTACTTCAGTAACTATAGTGATTACTGTCTGTATGGTTTTTTTCTTTTCCATATCATCCATAAATAAATTATTCTTCTCTTAGTATTGAATGTTTGCCTTTCTAAATGAATTAACAAGTTACTCTTTACTTTGCATTGATGTTTTGACAAATAATATGGATTGTGATTTATTCTTTAATATCTGTCATTATAATATGTTAATCAAAACTACATATTTTTACTTCATCTTTTGAAAGATTTATTTTATACAAAACAACTATATGATATTTTGTAATCTCTTTATTTATATTAGTTATTTTGCTATCACAAAGTTCGAAATAGTTTTCATCTACGGTACAAACACAAATAAATAAAATTTGAGAATAAAAAAGGCTTATACGGAATTACTACTTTCATCACGATAAAATAATCAATCTTATAGGTTGAATTGATTAAAAATAGCCTAGATTACTTTGATTGTAGACCAAACGAAAAAAATAAAAAAGGTATGATGGTAACTAATTTTTTAACACACACAATATAAATATTTGTTATACATAAATGATAATAATTTGTCGTAAAAATAATTATTGTTTGATGATTAGGAAAAATAAAATGAATTAAAGATCATAGATCACATGAAGACAAAAAACAACAGTTTGATTTTTGTACTGCAATTTCAAAATTAATTAATATAATTTTTTGATGATTATTTGAAGGGTTTGCAAAAACAATATTTACTATTATAAAGTTAAAGATCATTTAAAAAAAATGATAATTGTGTTAATTAAGCATATTGTTAAAAGGATTAGTTCCATTTTCAAAAAATAAAAATAAAAAAATCATGCATACCCTATTGTAAAAAGGATCAATGATGATTTGCTTGAAATATTAGTTTTAGGTAATTAGGGTTGCTAATTCATTGTAGCAAAACAAAAAAAAACATATTTTGATATTGAGAATAAGGTTTTCACAGTAGGTTCAATAATCAGTCCGAATTAATCCCATAATATTTTCTCGCAATAGAACTCATTTCCATTCAGTTTAGAGAGCCTATCCGAATTTGTCTTGCAGGACAAGAAAAAAGTATGGGATAATGACACCCTTATTATGTTTCTATACAAAATTTATGAGCCAAAAGTTTATAAAAGTCCACCATTTGTCTTGACAAATAAATCCGAACTGTCGATGGGAAAAGGGGGAATTATTTTGTCCAAAAAAAAAAAAACATTCGGGTAACCTACTGTGGAAAGGATCACAATGATGATTTGTCACAAAGTATTAATATTTTCATATGTGGAGTAACGTCTTCACATTAGTTGTAGTTAATATATTAGAATTATTTCTATAATCATTGAGAATAAACTTTTGGACATTTGACATTGGATATACTACTCTATAAGTTATTGTTTTCTTTGCTTTGTGATTAATCAAGCTTGAAAAAACATCTCCTTATTTTTAAGATAATATGTATCGTTTTCTACTTCTGGTTTTTATATTTCAACACACACTCTTATGAAAATAACATGACAAGTTTACATTTCATAACATTATTCTTGGTATTACTTGTTACATTTTTGTATTTTTCGTGGATTTCATCATCAGTTCTATTCACAAGATCTCATACTTCACAGCCTCACAAGAGGAAACAACATCAAAGCCACCTTCTACAACACACGTTTGGATCTTGAACTTGTATGTTAAGACTTTCTTTGCTATATCTGTAAACAATATTATTAGTGTCGGTTAGATATCGTAAAAATTTTATGATGCAAAACATTAATACTAAAAAAATACATCACACTACCTTGGTATAATTCCGGCATATGGATCACTGCATTTGGTCCATATGAAAAATTTTGCTGCCGAAGTTTGAATGAACGCTTTAAACATAAGAGACTCGTCATTCCTATTAAAATCGTCATTTCTCCTATAGTTGTTTTCACCTTCAAAATCAATACACCTAACGGTTTTGCTGCACTTCTTACATACAATATACCATCAACGTTGATGTTGTATAAGCATTGCAATAGTTCTAAAAATAACACAAAGTGAATTTACACAAGACACAAACTTTTACATAGATGTTAATTATATACCTCGTAGGAAATCAAGGTTATAGATAAAATATTTGATATACCAATGATTGTACATATATGTTCAGATTCACCGAGATAAAAAACTTTTCTATATTGAACCTAGTTTTGGAAATCATCTCAGACTAACCTAACATTTGCGAAGATAACTGGCTAACCCGGTTAGATGTGATTTGTAGACCATCAATAGTGATCAACGTGTCAATAATATAAGACATGTCAATATAAATCATAAATAGGTTTTGGCAATAATACTAATAAAACATTCAAAATATTAATTCAACAACAGCTTAATCTTATTTGAAAATGTTATCATTTAATTCCACGATGGTTCCATGTTCAAGGACTAGAATAATGCGCCCTTGTGCTCACTGGACATGCAAGTAGAAATTTCATCACATGCTTCTTCCGTAATGTGGCGTGCAAGGGTTGTTTCCTGATATTCACTCTAGCCCTTAATATATGACACAAATAACTAACTTCTAATATATGAGTTCAAGCCACCTTTTTTATTCATACTCACTTCTTATGCAATACCTCTTCTAAATTGTCATTGTTAATTTATGCACATTAAAAATTGAAGTACTTTAAGTGTTGTTTCTCAATGTTTATGACAAGACTTAATACATTTCCCGGTTCTTGATTAATTGTAATATTCTTATGAAATTTCAGAAAATCACGAGACATACTTTCTCATTCTTGATGGCTATAGAAACTTTACAACCTTATTCCACCTCTTTAATTGTGAGTTTGTATTGTGTAGCACTTATCCTTGAATTATAGCCAATCCATGTTCTTCATTTAAACTCTGTTCAGAACTTGGTGATTCTCAACTTAAATATCTTTGGATTTAGTTCTCTAAAAGAAATAGTTAAAGTACTAATTCAATAAAATATAAACTGAATTATGGTACTGAAGAATTAAATTTTTTTCTTCTTCTCTCTTGTATTTCTTTTAGTGGTCAAGCAACAATAATCTATGTGTTGATCATGTGAGCTCAACGGTTTGGAAGAAATTTAACATTTCACTAAATTCACAAGTTTATTGATGGCCATGAGCTAAACATACTGGCAATTAAGATTCATTGCCCATGGTTTTGGATAGTCTAAGAAATTTTAGGAATATACACTACACATAAAAGTAAACTAACATTTTAGTTTATCTAACTATACTCGTTTATGTCACACATTGTGTAGTGCCAACAAGATAATATTACTAAATCCTTTAACTAAATTCAATTTGCATAAGTATTAACAAGAGTAGTTTGAACATCTAGGTAATAAAACGAAAATTACACTATGTCATAACTTTTGAATTGTACTTGGATCAATGGACGCTGTATAACAAATAGATTTTCGCACCAACTCCTCGTCATAACCAATACCACAAGGAGAGATTTATCCCCTAAAAACCTAATTTGTCCAGATCATGCCATAACCCATTGAGAAATGGATTGGTATGGCGAATATTGCTAAATTAAATCGTATGTGGAAGGCCTCAACGCTCTGAAGAGTTATGCTAGCTAGATCAAATTCAACATCGAATCTCCAATTAAGATTGTGGTAACAGTAAAGAATGAAAGACAAAATAATAATAATAATAATAACAATAATAATAATAATGATAATAATAATAATAATAATAATAATAATAATAATAATAATAATAATAATAATCATTATCAGGGTGCTTTGGTTAAAAAATCAACTAGAAAAAGGAGTAGAGAGATCTATATATATTTTTTTTTGGTAAAGAAAAATGTGGAGATCGGATTCTCAAAATCTGACCTACTAATTAAATTAGTAGTTCGGATTTTAAGAATCCGATTTAATAAAATAACAATTTTTATTTCCGGAAAATATATGTGAGAAAAATGTATTGAAAGTCAAATAAAGAACAGTCAAAGGTCGGATTTATTGTTTATTTTCATAAAAAAAATATAGGCGGGAGATTTGAAAATTAAGAACAGTACAAAATCGGATTAACAAAATTCGACCTTATTTAAGCATACCTAACAGTAGGTATCGGCATTGAATGGACGTTATTAGCTGGCAGAAGGTCGGATTCGTGAAATCTGGCCTTGATGTTAAATCGGATTTTCTAAATCCGATTTTATAAGTAAAATCGGATTTTTGAAATCCGACTTTATTGTGTTATAATGGGGCGACGGAAAATACTGTTCACATATCGGGATTTTTGGTAAAGTAGGCTATTTCTTGAAGGAGGAGGTGATTTTAGTGGCGATTTGAAGATTTTGTTCACGATTCTTCGCAACGGATGTCTTAAAACCATTTCATAAGAAGGTTAGTTAATGTTTTGATGTATTTAGAATTATTTTTGTTATTTTCTTTGTAAAAGTTTAGAACTAGGATGATTTATAAGGTTTTAGGGTTGATGTTGGGTGTAGTTGATGATTGTTGTTGTATACGTGGTATTGAACGTTCAATTTAGTAAAATACTTGAATTTGGCCTAAACTTTTGAATTTGTAGGGGGTTTAGTAAATTTAGTGTTTATTATGCCTTGTTTGTGGTAATTGTTATAATAAGTTGTTTGATAATGCCTAGTTTGTGTCATTTTTTTAATAATTTGTTCATGATGTGTTGTAATTCATGTAATCAACAGATATAAATGGCGTTTAACGGTCCATATTTCATTAATGTCTATTGGTCGAGCAAATTTGTAGTGAAGAATGGGATTGTGAATAGTTTTAACAACATGCCGGACGATTCCTTTGTGATTGATCATAAGTTATTGTACAATGATTTGGTTGGACTAATTTGTGAAAGAGTGGGGTAGAATAGAAAGAATGTGAATTTGAGTCTATCGATTTTGTATGATACGATGCGCAATGGTTTTAGGCGTATCGCCAAAATCAAGGACGACGCATCGTTGCAAGTGTTGTATTTCCTCCCAAGTTCGACATATATTGATTTGTAGGTGGATTTGGAGGTGGCGGGTACTTCTAGGTCCCATTTGGAAGTAGGGACAAGTAGTGGTAGGCCGAATGTGGAGAATGTAGATTACATGGAAGATGATGATGTGGGTGGACCATTTATGGAGGATGGCGATCACATGGAATATGATCACGGTGAAGATGATGAGGACTACACATCGATAAGTGATCAAAGCGATGAAAACCAATCAATATCCGAAGGAAGTCGGGAGAGTGATGAAGAGGTCGAAGACAAATTCGCCACAAAGGAGAGGCACATATATCGTTCCCAGGGTACATGGGATCATACAAAAGTGGACAAGGATGATTTTCAACTTACCATGTGGGATGGGACAACCGCAACAATTGGGATAGGGACTTGTTTCAAGAATAAGAAAGAAGTAAAAAATGGTGTTGCAGCGTGGAACATAGAGCAAAAGAGAGAGTTTTATGTGAAGGAAAGTGATGGTTCAACATGGTCTATTTGGTGCAAATCCCTAAAAGAGTCAACCCCTAAGGGTTATGTTCCTTGCCGTTGGAAGGTACGTGCCTCCTTGAGAGACCACGGTTTGTGGGAGATTGTGAAATGGGTGCCCGAGCACAATTGTATGAATGTCACAGAGGATAACAATAATCGGAATGTGAGCGCAACGCTTATTGCGCATCTCATAAGGCATAAGGTTGAGTTGGACCCAGATTATGAAGTGAAGCTCGTTCAGGAAGAAGTGAAAGACCGTATGCATGTCGATGTTCCTTACCACAGGGCATGGGAGGGAAGGAGAAAAGCTATCGATCTTGTTTACGACGACTGGGTTTCCAATTTTGACATACTTCCAAGGTATTTACTTAAGTCCTATCTAATTTTTTTGATTTGTTTGTAATTTAGGAATAAAATAAGGATTAATTTTTTTATTTTAATTTAGATTTTTCGCCGCCCTAGAGAAGAGCAACCCCGGCACAGTTGTAGAGTGGGAATGGCAACCGGGTTGGACCGATATAGAGAGGACGTTCAAATACATTTTTTGGGCATTCAAGCCTGCAATTGATTGTTTTGCTAAATGTCCTCCGGTGATTAGTATCGACGGGACGCACTTGCGCGGCGGATACAAAGGTAAATTACTTGCTGCAATGGTCAAAACTGCGAATAAGCGCATCCTGCCAATTGCATATGCGATCGTGGATGAAGAGAGTGAGGAAAGTTGGTCATTCTTCTTGAAGCATTTGAGGAATCATGTTATATCCGACCGGCCTGTGTGTGTTATATCCGATCGGCACAAGGGTATCATCAGTGCAATACGCCTAATGCCCGAATGGAATGCATACCACCGGTTTTGCCTTCGTCACGTCCGTAGTAACTTGGTGGCGCAGTTTCGAAGTAAAAAGATCAAAAGGTTGTGTTGGGAGATGGGCACGAAACTTTCTAAGTCTAAATTCAAAGAACTAAGGAATGAGCTACGTGATTTTAGCAATGATGCTTATTTGTATCTCGAGGAGATTGATGCTTGTCAGTGGACTCTTGCCAAAGACAAACACTACCGTTGGGGTAACCAGACAACGAACATTTCTGAGAGCTACAACAACGTCCTCAAGGGCGTTCGTTTCTTGCCAATCCGGGCTTTGGTGGAAGCTACTTTTATTAAGACTGTGGATTTGTTCCAGGAAGAATACGTGAAGTCGAGGAAATGTATTACTCCGGTCCCAACTGACTTGTGGGAAGACTTCAAGAAAAAAGAAAAGAAAGCCGCGCAACACAAAGTCAACCGTTATGGTGCTATTAATGGCAAGTTCAAGGTGAAAAGTAGAGCCCGACTTGGTTGTAAAGGGGATAACACGTACACTGTGAAATATGAAGAGAAGAAGTGTTCTTGCAAGAAGTGGCAAGAGTATAGGTTCCCTTGTACATCTGCACTAGCTGTGTATCGGAAGATTAAAGATCAACCAATCAATACGGTGAATCCATATTTCAGGGTTGTTGCTTGGCAAGACCAATTCAGTGGGTGCGATGACTTTTCCCCGGTCCCCGATATGAGAAGATGGCCTAAGGTTGGATGGAGACTCATTCCTAACTACGATCGAGTTATTTTGTATTTCTTTGTTTATTTATATTTTTTTATTATATTTTTGTTTGTTTTCCTAATTTGTGTCTTTTCTATTTGATTTAAAATTTCAGTTATGGGTTTGGGAGCGTATCCCAAGACTTCAACCAAAGAGGAAGGTTAAAGATGAGAGTTACTTGGTGCTGGACGTACCATTAGGCAATAGGTAATGATTTATTTTATTATTTTTTATTTCCTATTATGTCTCAATCCAATGATTTATTTTATTATTTTTTATTTCCTATTATGTTAAAATCCAATGATTTATTTTATTATTTTTTATTTCCTATTATGTCTCAATCGTATGTGGAAATGCCCAAAATCCAAAGCGAACATCGCCGCTCATTGTGTTGCTGGCATCAGGGATCAGTTATCTAGCCTAAGGGATGGGGATGTAAGTATTGATTTAAGTTGCTTGAAAAAATTCCTTTTCATATTTTCCTCTATTTTTTTTTACCAATTTTTTATTTTTGGACAGTTTCTATGGACTCCATACACTCCCTTCATCGACGATCTCCCTGATTTCTGTAAAGAGGGGGTTAATTTCTACCTCTGTAGGACGTGGATCTTTTGTTGGGCCATCAGAGAACCATACGAGCCCAATCCGGTCCTTCGTCAATTTCAATGCGTCCAAACTATGCCAGAGTACCCGTTAATCAATGACATTGATCGCTGGAATGCGATACACCACGGATGCCTTGGGACTGGAAAGGCATATGATGATTGGGTGCAAAAACACACTGAGGTATGACCTCATTGGAATGTGAGAGATCAGCACGTGGTCCCTCATGAATTGGGTGATCCGGAACTAGGTCCTCAATACACATCGGACTACATGCCGTGGTTTCAAAAGAAGACTATCAGATTTATGACTGATCCCACTCAATACGGCCCTCTGGCACAGGGTTATCACTCGTCTTCATCTCTGGAGAGATTTTATTTAAGATCTAATATTATATTTTGACTTAAATTTTTTTTTATATTTTAATTCTTGCTATATCTTACACTTTATTCACATGGTTCAATTTTCAGTCTTCAAATCTCGGCGACATATATCATCTCGCGATGCAGCCTTACGGGAAAATCCAAGCCTCGGTGGTAGTCTAGAGGATAAACTCTTCCAAATCTTCGACAAGAGTTTCAGTGCTCTGACTTTGGGCCCACGTGATATGAGCACTCAGTCCGATACTCAAGTTCTTCAGAAAAGACCCCCTGAGTCAAGTCAAAATGTGGTACTCACGCAGAAAACAACATCGAAGCCTACTGGAGGAGGAAGGAGGAAGCGACTGGGAATTTCAGATCGAACAATCATAGTTCATCCTAATGTCACGGACAGTATTTCTTCACCATGAATTCGGGTGGTTTGATGCGAAACGGGCTATTTTTGTAGACGGACATGGGACGGAACGGTCTAGAGCCTTGTGGAATTCTCCAGTCAAATCTTGAAGACTCTGGAATTTTCTAGAGAGGCCCGGAACTCTCTAGAAACGAGTGGAACCGTGTGGAAGCTACCCGAGTTTGCTAGAACCGTGTGGAAGATTCTAGAGACTTGTAGATATTTTGAATTTAGAATATTTTATTGTAGGAATTCTCTAGAATCCCATTATTTTATTATATACATAGAATTCTCTAGAATTCTTTAGGACTTGGGGGTTTGCCTATAAATACCCCATGCCCCCCTTCATTTGTAATCATCCAAGCTTTGAGTAGAATTCTCAAGCATTCCTTAAGCTCTCTTGTGCCTTCATCGTTCTTTCATTTTCAACCTTTCTTAAGTTTTTCTTTGCCTCCGTTCTTTAAAGTCTTGCCTAGCTTTGCACGCTTTGGGGGTCTTAAGGCTGAGCTAGCACTTGATCGTTAGTTGTTTTGTGCTAGTGCCGCACGGCCGTTACTTGGAAAAAGTAAGCCCGTGACAGTTGGTATCAGAGCCTCGGCTCGATACTTGGTGTGCTACATCGTCTACGCTTCCGTTTGTTGCTTTTCTTTCGTGCATAAGCTATGTCTAACCCTTCGGAGGTTGTTCAAGGGTCGGAGCTTGAGGGGGATCACGTTTCCCGTGAGGTGGGGAGGACCACCCGCAAAGGAAGCCGCAAGGAGAAGTCGGTCGTTAGGGAGCCGATGGTGGAATTCGAGAAACGGCTTGCCAAGCTAGAGCTTGCTGTGGCCGACCACCAAGACCGTTGGGACGAGCACCCTGAGGTGGTAGCGGGGGTCGTCGAAGCTCGCATGGAGCGATTCGCAGGGGAATTGCAAGAGGTCATGCAGCAAATGAAGGACGACATGCTAGGGACGCTCAACGAAATGGTGGAACGTTGCAACAAGTCGAAGGAGGAAAGCCTTGCTCGTGTTGCCGCCCTCCAAGACGACGTCAACCGGCTTATGGGGGAGCTGGAGACTTCTCGGGCAGAATCGGCGCGTCTTAAGGCACGGCTTGACACCGTGGCCGTGCAAGGGACAACCGGAGCCGTGAGGACGGTTCCAAGGCTTGAAGCGCCCAAGCCGGACGAATACAAGGGCAGCCGTCGCTTGAGGGACGTAGAGAACTTTCTCTACAGTGTGGAACGGTACTTTGGGGCTATGAATATCATGGACGACTCGGTAAGACTCTTCCAAGCCTCTCTTTATCTTAAAGATAGTGCCTTATCATGGTGGAAACGTATGATGAAACCCGTGGGGGGATGGAGACCCGGTCTTCACCACGTGGGATGGTTTTAAGGAAGAGTTTAGAAAGTATTTCCTACCCGTGGATGCGGAAGACGAAGCCCGGGCCAAGCTTCGTCGTCTGCACCATAGGGAAGGACAAATCCGGGAATACGTTAAGGAATTTTCGGACTTGATGCTTGAAATTCCGGATCTCTCGCCCAAGGAGGCATTCTTTACTTTCATGGACGGTCTCAACCGTTGGGCCAAACTTGAGCTACAACGGAGAGAAGTCCAGGACATCGATCGGGCGTTAAAGGTGGCCGAGTCGCTTGTTGAGTTCCAAAAGAAGGATAGCTCCAAGGACAAGGGCAAGAAGCCGTTCCAAGGCAAAGGTGGGGGAGACAAAGGGAAGTCTTCCACCCCCGCGAAGCCGGCAGCCGACTATACAAAGCCGTCTTCAAGCAAGGAGACCAAGGGGGACAAGCCAAAGAAGTTTCAAGGGTGCTTCTTGTGCGGGGGAGCGCACATGGCACGTGATTGCCCGTCTCGTTCGAAGTTGGCAGCATTGGCACAAGGTTTGTGCCAAGAAGAGGAGAAACGGGTCGCTTGCATGAAACGGCTAGACGCCGTGCATGCCAAGGCCGAGACACGTCAAGGCCGTCTTTACATGGAGGCATCGTTCGCAAACGGGTCTAGATGGGGCATGCTAGACACAGGGGCCGACACGAGTTATCTCACGGAAGAGGTAGCCAATTCGCTTGGCGTCAAGTGGACACCTAGCAAAGGCCGTTTCAAGGGTGTGAACGGCGAATGGACGGGTCTTGTAGGCGAAGCCAGGGATGTGCCTCTTAAAATCGGCAACTGGTCAGGTACGGCTAATTTCTCCATTGCACCTATGGATGATTATGGTCTTGTGTTTGGCATGGAGTTTTTAGACCAGGTAAAGCCAATCATCGTGCCTAGCAACGACACGATGGTGATCCTCCAAGGCGAGAAGCCTTGTGTGGTAAAGTTTAGACGGGAAAATGAGATTAGCCCTTCCCAGCTGAACAAGGGGCTAAAACGGGGTGAACACACCTTTGCCGCCATGGTGTTTGAGGAGGAACCATGCACAGAGGAGCCGGCAAAGGAGGAACGAATCCCGTCTCCCATAGAACGGGTCCTTGTTGAGTTCAAGGACGTGATGCCCGACGATTTGCCTAAAGGTATTCCACCAAGAAGGGAGGTTGATCATGCCATTGAGTTGGTGGACGGGGCGAAACCGGTAGCCAAGGTGCCTTATCGTATGTCCCCTAGCGAGCTAGAGGAGCTCAAGGTGCAAATCAAGGAGCTACTTGAATCGGGTCATGCAAGGCCATCTAAAAGTCCGTGGGGTTCGCCGGCCTTATTCCAACGCAAGAAAGATGGGACGCTACGTTTGTGCATCGACTATCGGGCATTAAACAAACTAACCGTGAAGAACAAGTACCCTATCCCACTTATAGCGGACTTGTTCGACCGGCTGCAACGGGCACGGATCTTTTCCAAGCTAGACTTGCGGAAGGGATACTACCAAGTACGCATAGTACCCGGTGATGAACCGAAAACGGGCATGGTGACGAGGTATGGCTCTTATGAGTTTCTTGTTATGCCGTTCGGTTTAACTAACGCCCCAGCCACGTTTTGCACTCTGATGCAACGCGTGCTAGCGGATTTCATTGATAAGTTCGTTGTAGTATACTTGGACGACATCGTTATCTATAGTAACACAATGAAGGAGCATGTGGAGCATCTTAGAGCCGTTTTTCAAGTCCTTAGGGAAAACCAGCTCTATGTTAAAAGGGAGAAGTGTTCCTTCGGCCTTGAGGAGGTGTCGTTCTTGGGACACATCATTGGTGGGGGCAAAATCCGCATGGATCCGGCCAAAATCAAAGCTATCGTGGAGTGGGAGGCACCCACGAAGCCAACGGAGCTGAGATCGTTCTTGGGGCTTGTTAATTACTATAGGCGGTTTATTGAAGGGCACTCCGCTATAGCCACTCCACTAACGGATCTCTTGAAAAAGGGGCAAGCTTGGTGTTGGACACCAAAACACCAAACAGCGTTCGAGGCTTTAAAGGACGCCGTCACTCGAGAGCCAGTCCTAGCTCTCCCTGATTTTGAGAAACCGTTCGAGGTGTGCACGGACGCTTCGGACTTCGCCATTGGGGGCGTTCTCATGCAAGATGGTCATCCGATCGCCTTTGAAAGTCGCAAGCTGAATGAGACCGAGAAAAGGTGGCCGACGCACGAGAAGGAGATGTTGGCTATATTTCACTGCCTTAGAGTTTGGGAGCATTACTTGAAGGCCGCCACACCGTTCAAGATCAAGACGGACAATCGGGCAGTGAGCTACCATCAAAGCCAACCTAAGCTTTCAAGCAAGCAAGCGCGTTGGTTGGACTTCTTGGCCGAGTTTAAATACGAGCTTGAGTATAGCCCGGGGAAGACTAACCACGTGGCCGACGCCCTAAGCCGAAAGGCGTGTCTTGCTCCAATCGTTAGCATACCCGAGGGAACGCTGGTTGATCGCATTAAGAAGGGTCTTGAGCACGACCGTCAAGCCCAAAGGTTCATGGAGCTCGTGAAGGAAGGCAAGACAACGCGGTTCTGGCTTGACCGTTTGTACGTGCCCACATGGGATGGACTTAGAAGGGAGATTCTAAGGGATTGCCATGATAGCCGTTATGCGGGTCACCCAGGTACGCATCACACACTTGCCTTAGTACATGAACGGTTCTATTGGCCTCGCATGCGGGAAGACGTGGAGACATATGTAAGGACTTGTCTAGTTTGCCAACAAGACAAGACCGAGCAAGACCACCCGCATGGCTTGTTATCACCCTTGCCTATTCCGGAACGCCCGTGGGACAGCGTTTCGATGGATTTCATCGTGAGCCTGCCCGTTTCCGAAGGTTGCACCAACATAATTGTTGTGGTAGACCGTTTGTCTAAGTATGCGGTCTTCATACCCGCCCCAAAAGAGTGCACCGCGGAGATAACGGCCAAACTCTTTCTTAGGCATGTGGTGAAGTATTGGGGGCTGCCTACATTGATCATAAGCGATAGGGACTCGAGGTTCACCGGCCG